GGTAGTGGCCACATTCCAAGGTTTTTGTTGCTAGTTTTGGAAATACACTTTTCTTCTCGTGGCTACAAGGATGCATTTTGGTCCTTTCTGTACCATAAAACCAGGCTACTTCCTGCTTTCACTGTGAATGCAGTAGCATACTATAAACAAGCAGTGAAAACTATCCAATATATGGGTTGGAATATGGAAGAGAACAGAAAGATGAGAAATCTCTGGTGTGATTTACTGCCCAATAAACGCAATGATTCACCACAGTAATTTCCTGATTGCAGAAGGCCAAATTCTCCCACCTATACAAGTGTTGAGTAGTTCCCTAAATGATGCCTCATCCTCCTGGTCTGAACAGTACCATTTACAGAATAACACACTGCTTCAAGTTACTAAGGAACTGGACCCTGGCTCCAGCTTGTCCTATGCTCATACAATGAACAAAGCAAAGTGAGTGAAACAGAAGGAAAATATTTACCAAAGCAGATCAGAGTGTATCCTTAGTTAAAAACAGACGCTCTTTGTGGCTTCTTCAATGTCAGAAAGGTAAAAAAGCTTTTCATTTCTGAAATATCCTTTAGCAAATAATTTCGCTTAAGCAAACTGGTTACAATCCACTAAGGAAGGAATCTGAATATTGGCTCACTACACATCCTTAATCCCTGATCAAGACCTACAAGACCTGGGGATTTCACAGGAATAGAAGAGGGCTACATTGCCCTTGTTAGTAGAAATCATGGGCAGCCATGCAAAGATGTGGATGCATTAGCCATGCCTTTCCCCAATGCATTCAGGTTTTTCAGATCCAAATGCAGTAACGTTTCCGGATAGTAAGATCTGTGGGGCAGGGAGCCAGGTGATAGACTTCCCAGGGCTACTGCAATGCAGATTGGTTCCTGAATCTACGCTTGTTCTACAAGTGTCAAATCTCCTGGCTTTGATCAATACCGAAATAATTCTTTCAACATTCATGAAACTGGAGTTAATGTGCTTAGTATGGAGAAAGTGGGAGACAGAGGGTTGTGGAGGTCTGCAGAGAGGAGTCATTACCCACTTTAAACTAAAACAATATGCGACATGGTTGTTTTAACTTGCTCCAGGAAGTCTGGCTGCCTTCTGCTCAGACTGATACATAAGATGATTCCACTTGGGAGTAAAGCTGGAATGCTTTCCAAGACGCAGCTAAGGAAGCTGCTGCATTTGGTAAGAATTGTAACCTTTTTTTCCAAACTAGGTACTCGAGAAAAATACCTGCTTATTGAGTTGAGATGACATAGCCCACAGGTAGGATTGTACAATGAAATATATTTCCCTGGGACATGAGAACGGAGTTTAAATCTGGTACTGAAGTCTCCTTGTGACAAGGAAATAGACTTCCTATAATAAGAGTACCCATCCAAATAGATTATTAATCCTATTGAGTTTTAATAGTTGCACCTGGCACAATATTTAAGAATCCTTCCCTGTTAAAACAAACAAAGGCATAAAAAAAGCCAAACCCCCACACAAATAGAAACAGTATTATCCTTAATGTAGCACATAGCACTGCTATCTCTTCACAGATTCAAAGTTATGCTGATTGTAAGGGATTAATTTCCTTAGCTGAAATCTCGTGTTTAAGCAAAGACGAAGCAAAAAAGAAAAGGATTCACAAAACATTTACTTCAGGATCAGTTACTTGTTTGCACAATCCTGTCAACTAGTCTAGTTAAGTCAGAGGCTGCTTTTCCCTACTCACGCCATTTGCAGTAAATCAACAAGAATTTAATTTTTCTGTTTTGTACCTAAGGAAAAATATTTTTCAAATTGTACTCAAGCTCTTCTTGGGAAAAGTAATTTCTTCATCAGCTACAGCAGATTGTTAGGAAAGAGGGTGGGGCCTTCCAAGGCTGACGTCCTTCAAGCCATACCTGAGTACAAAGAGCAAGGGAGAACTGCAGCCAAGAAACTCTCAAAAGCTGCTTCCAGTGACTGCTGGGATTGCAAGGCTGGCTTTAGTCTGCAACTGCTCTAACTTGCTGCTAAGAAGAGAGGAGGGAAGCCGGACTCATAGCAGCTAATTACATTGGAGAATTAAATACAACTGCCATCTTCTCGATGTGAAACTGGATTGGATTTTTTATTTTTTTTATTTAAACACAACTGAAAAAGCTTTATTCCTCCCCTCTTCTTTTTCATCTTTTTCGACACACACCGTGGTAATGTTGCAAACAGCCTGCACGAGTCCTGAACGACTGGTGAATCAAAACACCAGTGAGAATGAAATCTGCAGCTACGGTCCAGGCCAGGGATCACCATTGCCTGGAGAAACTGCCAGTCCCAAAAGCTATTTTCAACAGAGCCCATCGTTGCCAGACTCTGGATTAACTGAATTTAATGTTGCGAGTCCCACGATCTACCCTCCTCCTTCATGTAAACCTCAAGAGATGTCTGCTCCCACTGGTAAGATCAAATCTTTATTCAACATTTTCTATTTTATGCAACACTATTATGCTTCTTTTGCAAATCAATAAAGTACAATGACTTGCAACTCCTTTTGTGCTAGCAGAGAGCTGTACTAACAGTAGCACATACTAAGCTTCTGTGGCAATAATAATGGAGATGTACAGCACACTCTCCTACTCATATCTTGCTTTCATTTTGTTGTGGTCTGCTGCTGAAGTCAGAAATTATTCTGTTTTGTAAAGGATGCTCAATATTCCATCATTTCTGTCTATCTCTAGCATTTTGATGCTCATTTACATCCTGAATTGCAAGTTTGGTTCCAAATCTAACAGTAAGGTAATAGATATGACCTTCTGAGTTATTAACATTACAAAGTCATATGAAAGTGTGTTTGGTGAATCACTGCCTTTACTGAGTGCTTCAATTTCAAGGATACATCTGGGCATGTGGCCTGATCCATCATATAGCATTTTCACTGTAAATAGCTTTAAAGACATTGTATTAGCAATTTGGGGTTTTTTAATAAAGCTTTTCATAGAGGCCTTTACAAAACTCTATAAAGAGTAAATAATTCATTGTCAAAACACCAGTCTAAAAAAGGAATTATTTCCATTTTTAGAGCAGTCAGAGATAAACTATAATTTTGCAGTCCCAATGTTTTAATTATTCAGTGTTAGGTTAAACTTTCAGAAACATCAGAAATCTTAGCACAAAATGACAACTCAATATATATTCAAAAGGCACCATTTGCTACTTGGGATTCAAGACCCTCCTGCTGAAGGGGTGTCAGTCTCTCATTGCCTGGAGCAGGGAAGAGAAACAGTATCACTCAACTAGAAACTACATCTTGTGTGGCTGGTTTCCATGCCAATATTGCCTACTCTGAGACAGCCCAAGTTTGGGGGAGGTCTACCATTCCCATCTGTCGAGCTCCTGCAATTCTCCTCCACAGGGTTTAGCCAGCCAGACTCCAGCAGCTGCTACGGGGCACGCATGCAGAATTTGGTCAAGGAGGAATACTGGTACAAGGCACCTCATGCTTTACTTAACGCTGACTTCTACTGTAATAGGAACTGCTTGCCCAAGCTGCATACGCCTTTTTCATTTTAGGTTGCTGCGTTGTTTAATCATAAGCATGTTTTAATCACAAGTGCTGTTTTTATTCCTCATGCTGTGAGCTACACTAGGAAGAGAAGCTTCTCTCTGCTCCAGCAAGCATTGCTGCTGGATGACTCCTTAGTCTCAGTAGCCCACACTCTGACTCCCAACACTTGGGCTTCTTTGGAACAGTTGCCTTCTATATGGTATATTTTATGTGCTAACCAGTTGGGAAGACCCTGAACTAACGCAATAAAGCTATCGTCTTATAATGACAATAGCTGTTGCTGAATGCATTCTATATGAAGAAGATCATGCTTAAGGGGGGGGGAAGAAGGGGGCGGGGGTGGGACACAGTGTTACATAAAAGGTATTTCAAAAGCAATGCATTTAAGCTCCTAATCTGGGCAAGTCTTTCAAGCTTGGGGATTCGAGTACAAGGTGCAAGAAGACCTAACACAAACACTTACAGAGCAGCTTGTTTTGACAATCACAAGCTTGTTTGGACAACTACATATATTCTCAAATAACTACTTCATTTCATTACAGAAAATCATTGCTTCCCTTTAAATCACACCACATTGACTCCCAAATGCACCAAGAACTACCGGAGAAGGACACTGGACATAGCACCACTACTATCTAATTTCTGAAACAATTCTGTTCCTTATTGTTCTACTGATACCAATGTAACATACCACAGGACAGGAAACCACAATGACAGATTTACTACAACAGAGGAAAATCAGAACGTGACAAAGAGAGGCAGTAATCTAAACAGTGTTGTCATATTCCCCAAAAGCAGTCATGTGCTCTAAGTCTGAGACCTCTGAGCTGAACGGCACCAAGAAAAACTGCCCAAGGCCAAGTCTCAAGATAGTACGTTTATTTCTGCACTACTGAAAGCTCTAAACCAGAAACAGCAACTTCTTTTCCTTCTTTTTCCCCAACCATCCATCCAAATTTCCTTTTGCATTGCTACCCTGCCCCTATTGTTCTCTTTCCAGCTTCGGTGGCACATTTACCCTTGGAACAGTCTCTCCTCTGCCTTCACTCAAAATTGAAACCGTCCCTGTGCACTAAAGTTTAACAACAGCCTTCATGGGGCAATTTGTGGATTAACTCAGCTCTCTGCTTATGGCCCGAGACTGAATATCCCACAGCCAGCTTTGGGGCTTGTTTTTGTTTTGTTTCTTAAGAAAAGAATTCCCTTTGTGATGCCCCACAGTCTGTTGTAGCCTGAGAAGCAACGCATTAAAGTAATTGTTAAGCAGGAAGTAGGCCAGAGCTAAGGAACATGTAGGGTGATGTGGAAATTTCCCACAATTGATGATGAATGTCAGAATCTGAGGTTGTCTCTCGGGGTGACTTCATGCTCCCACTATTCTATAACAGCTCACAGAATTATGTTACTTTAAGCATCATGTTATGTTTTTCCAGACTCTGGACTTAGCTCTGATCCCCCTCAGAAGCGCTACATGGGTGTGAGAGTAAAGATGCCAGTACGGGAACTACTGAGAAAAATTCGGCTCTCCAAAGGCCTGGACCCAGCTCACAGCAAGGTGAGGACTCTTCCTGAGTTAAGAAAAGTTGCTTCCCAGATATGTAGCATCCCAGTGCAGGCACATCACACTCCCAGTCTGCCGGCATTCTGGAGAGGTTACACCTACAGCTGCTGCCTCTTCCATCCACCTAATTAATGCTTTTGATGAAGGTGGAGAACATACCAGGCTGAGGGCCTGTGCTAGGACCATTTCTAAGACAGTGACCAGAGAACCCGTTTGTGCCCTGGATACTATACATCATGCAATCAAGCCAAAGATGGCCCAAGAAGCAGTAACAATTTTGCTCTAGCAACCCAGATTTCTGAACAACCTGCAAAAACAGCCCAAGTACCTGGTAGACTCCCAGATACCTGATCTGTTGTAAAGATCATTATAAGACTGCCATGAATTACCCACTCATGGAAATTTATTCATCTGTAGTCTCTGCTGTGTGAACTGCACAGCACAGGACACAATTTACTTTGTTTGTGTTTGAATATTTGCCGCTGTTTCACCTTCACTTACGTACAAGCATCTCAACTTGAGTTGGGTGTTTTTTTTCTCTTCAGGAAGCCTCATTAATGAAGATGGTAACCAAAGGATCCTCAGGAAAAACAGGTTAGGAAACTCCTCTCTTAGTAACAGACCCTCCTCTTTTAGCGTGATCATCACTGTTAGGTACCCAAAGAGCTAGACCACTTCTCTCACATGGTCAGAGACCCATGCCGGTTCCTAGCTCCCCTTAAATTATAGGAGCAGACTAGTTGTGCATCACCACCATGTATGTGTTATCTACCTGTTATCTGAGACAAAATTTCTGATTACTATACCTTCTGTATGTGTCAGCCCTCCCCCCTAACTCAAAATAGCTTATTTCTTCCTTTCTTTCCAACAGAAAAGAGAAGAGTTCACCCTTATACAGAGAAACAGCTTAGACAGGTATGCATAACACCTTCAACTCTGTGCTGCCAGCCTCCTCAGGCATATTTCATGTTATATCACTGAGTGAGAACAGGACACTTCATGTCTGATTTCCCTACCTCATCTTCCACCCTCCCCATTTTTGTTGCTATTTCAGAGCAAGGAGAACGCTGGGCAAACGCTAAAAGGCTTAGAGGACCTTGATATCCTGGTGGAGGTACTGCAGGAAGATTTGAACAAAAGCCAGTTGCAGAAGGAGTCTCTGCATTCTGTGCCAGATGGCTTTTGGCAGGGCTTCTCCTCAGATCTGCAAGCCTCTCGGTGGGAAACTGGAAGAAACAAGCAGGCAGCTGGAGGCCTGCAGGAAAGATGCCACAGCTTAGCCACGTTGCATTCATACAGCTGTTTTAAAGATTCCAACTCAGTACTGCGGGGAGAGGCAGAGACTTCTTTTCTTGATGATCAGAAAAACATGCAAGAGTCCGACCCAACAGGAATATTCTCAAGGACAAGTGAGAAAGAGACTAGCTGGTGGATACAGGATGCATGTACAAGTACCCAGAAAGATTTCCCAAGGCATTCTTCACAGAACACATCTCCACATTCTAACCCATCAGGAGGCTGTTCAGAGGTGCTTCTGAAAGCTAATACAGGCCCTCCAGACATTGAAGGACATTTGAAGTCGACCCCAATGTCTTTCACACCACAGGATCACTCTGCCATCTCTTTCTTCCAGTTCCAGTTACACAGGGAAGAAAGTTTACTGAGAAATATCCCAGTGGACAAACTGCTTGCACCTGATGAAAATGGCAACAGGTCTCCAATTTTTCTGTTGAAATATATTGATTTCTATTTCCTGGGGCATTACTTGTCTTTTGCTTTAACTTCAACTGCTAGTTTTGGGCACACCTGTGGCAAAGGCCTCCTTGCTCAATAGGAAGCTCAAATTCACCTCAGTACACACAGTTTTAGGCAGATAGTAAAAGTAGAAAGATTCCACATTTGCAGTAGTATTGACAAAATAAACTGACAGCAGGATAAGTTCAGAGTGTTAGCACTATTAAAGACTGAGTTATATTTGTAGGTATTCATAAGAAAATTAAAATCAAGCAAAACAAGTAATTGCTACTGAAAAAGAGAGACATGCAAAAGATATCTTTTCCACGCTGAAGACAATCTCAGGATAATTACTTGTATTATTAGTTGGTAATAAAAATGGGTGGGAGGATTACACCAAAACATGCATACGCTGATAGTCTAGAGCATACACTTCCAAAGAACTGGGAGTGGCTGTTTTGTTGGAAATGAAAGCAAAGGTTTTACAGGTCCCATTTTCCTTAGTTTAGCATGCTTATAGAGAAAATAGCTGTTTATTTTAAAAAAACTAAAATATCTTATTAGGTTCCATACAGTTCAGCTACTTTGCGGAAGCTGGTATCAAATCAGAATGACAGAAAGCATGACATAACTTATAAACGGTCCTGGTCTTAGTGGGAAAGAGATTAATTCCTGCTCATATAGTTTAAATTGGGAACAGGATTGTCTATTTAACCCATGCAGGGAAAGCTAAACACGGCATTGTTCCCTTCCATGAAGTACCACATTCCATTCAGAATAATGATATTCAGTGCAATAATAAAATTACAGATGTAACTTTTCAGCAATAGCGTAACTGTAACTGAGTTACAATAAGCCACCCACTACCATATTTCCTGCATATTTTTAATACAGACAAAATTCTCAGACATAAAGAAAATTAATCATATTTAAGACATTAAGACATTTCTACTCTCATGTTTATGTAAAATTCACAAGCTAAAATTTCCAGCAGCCCACTAACTTCTATGAAGTATTTAAACAGATTACACGCTCAAAAGAACACACGAAGGCACGAACACACACCGAATAAGCTAACTCTGAGTTGTACTGAATGGTTTTGGGGGATATGGTGTAGGGGAGTACTTTAGAGTAGGGTGGATGGCTGGACTTGATGATCCCGAGGGTCTCTTCCAGCCTAGATAATTCTGTGATTCTGTTAACAATATTAGCTAACCACAATAAAAACCAACCAAACAAACCAAAAAACACCAGTGAAAAACAAACAGCAGTAAGTGTCAGAGTTATTCAGACATCTTCAAGGATATCATGCTACAAGACAAGGGAGAAATAAATAAATATAATGCCTGCATTAATTTTTCCTCCAGGAAGAAAGGAAGACATACTCAAATTTACAAGAAAAGAACATCTTTTTCAGGATGAAATTCAGGAGAAACACTTGTACTATTTTGAGTAGTTCAGTAAGACTGAATACACAGAAGAAATTGAGCTCTCCTCCTCCACAGGACTGAATTACAGTTTTGAAAAACTTCGTTTCTTTTAAGGGCATGAGGAGGGTTTTCCTTATCTCGGTTTTTAGGTATGTTACACTCTGTTCCCTGTAGTGAAGGAATCTTTGAAAAAGGAGGAGGAAATAGAGATTGGTAGCAAAAAAAGAATCATAGAGTAGCTCTGGGAGAGGAGAGGAATGGTGTAATAGCAAGAAGGAAGGAAGGACCAAAAAGTCCTGGCAGACAAAATCAGCATCTCCATTATTAATATACAGACTAAATAATTTTAATGCTTAAATATCCCAAGATTTCATCATTTGTAAACTTTAACGTTTCATGCTTTAAAACACTGTTATTTTTGAGTATTTTAACCACTGCTTTGTCTTCTAATTGTTTAAAACTCTGTTGTATTCCAGGCTGCTGCACAAGGCTGTTGCTCAGGGAAGAAGAGCACTGACTTATGCACTTGCACAGAGATTTGCATCCCTAAATAAGATCAATGAGAAGGATGCAAAGAAACGGGTAAGATGCTAACTTGCCAAGAATGGGGTGATCTTCTACCACATGTAAACATATTTCAAATCCCAGTCAAGCACCAAGCATCCATTTGGATAAGGTGTAGCTACTGTCCTTGCAAAGAGGGGAAAACGGGAACAGGGAGGAAGTGATCTGCATTGACCAAGTATTAGCACAACTTGGAACAGAAACCAGAGTCCCAACTCCCCTCATTCTCTAACAAGCATTTTTGTTGTAAAACTGTTTCTGCCTTTCACAATGAGTTTCCCATTCTTCTCTTCTTAGACTGCATTACATCTTGCTGCAGAAAAGAACCAACATCTGATGGTGAGTGATCTGATATCCCTAGGAGCTAATGTCAATGAACAGGACAGTTTGGGGAAAACTCCACTCCACTTGTGTGCAGAGAATGGATATTTGAGAGTTTTAGAGGTAAGTCGGTCATTTATGTTGTATAAAGACATTTGCAAAGGTAATGCATACATATATATATATATACACATAACAACAAATGCATGACCTTTTGTTTTAAATACCCAAGAATTTTCTGTACCTGAAAATTAGCTTTGGTCTGATGTGGTTAAAGCAAGATGGAGTTGGAGGAGGAAGGAGTATTTTGGCACTGCCAAAAATCAGGACTTACGCTCATCGTCTTTGTTTCAGGTTTTGAAAAATTGCAAAAACAACGGCGTGTGTGTGGAAGTGAATATGAATGATCACTATGGTAAGAGGAAAAGCTTAACTGCATAGATACTTAGTGCAGACTCCAAGTTTCAGACTACAGATTTTATCTAATAATGTTCAATCTCATATTTAAAACTAAAAGATATAGGAGGACAGCAAATCAGTCTTAATAGGGCGTTGCCTTAGGATTATCCAAGTGTGGGATGGTTTACTCCACTAAAATGTTCAAGCACCAGATTTGTTTGACTTTTCTGTGGTCTGTTCTGTTCAGGTTTAACACCACTACACTGTGCTGCTCTTGCCCACACTGTCTTGGTTACGGAATCTCAAAAAACTGACATCGATACTGACATGGGAAGGTTTCTCAGACTACGCAGAGATCAAATTCTTGAGGGAATTAACTGCTTATTACAAATGGGAGGAAAGCCTGAGTTACAGGTGAGGGCTAGCCGCAGGCTATTTTTTGTGGCCTGAGGTTTTCTTATGCTTTTGCAATCACAGGTTTCACTGTCATTTGCAGGTACTAAATTCATGTCAAATTACCACTACTCATTTAAAAATTGAGGAGAACACAGAACTCATGTGTTTGCTTCAGACTCACAAGACTAAGGCACAGAATATTCTTCAAGAGGTAACTATCTGTAGCTACTTTTACACAGGCTCTAGCGTTTGTACCGAAGAAACTAAATGCAGTAATACAAGCTGTACCCCTTGTAAACACAGTAGATAATGCTCCCAACCTTGCCCTATCTTGCATAGGGCAGAAAATCCCCTGTTTGGGGGACAAAGCACTGTATGAGCTCTTGCCACACTTGGTCCCATTCCAGCTGTAGGGACTGCTTTATTTCATAGAATCATAGAATCATTGAGGTTGGAAGAGACCCTTGGGATCATCGAGTCCAACCATCTCCCCTACTCTACAAAGTTCTCCCCTACACCATGTCCCTCAGTACCACATCTAAACGTCCCTTAAACACAGCCAGGGATGGTGACTCAACCACCTCCCTGGGCAGCCTGTTCCAATGCCCGACCACTCTTTCAGTGAAAAATTCCTTCCTAATGTTCAGTCTAAACCTACCCTGTTGGAGCTTGAAGCCGTTCCCTCTCGTTCTATTGTTAATTACCTGTGAGAAGAGACCAGCCCCAACCTCTCTACAGTGTCCTTTCAAGTAGTTGCAGAGAGTGATGAGGTCTCCCCTCAGCCTCCTCTTCCTCATACTAAACAGCCCCAGCTCCTTCAGCCGCTCTTCATATGATTTGTCTTCTAGGCCCTTCACTAGTTCCGTTGCCCTCCTCTGCACTCGCTCCAGCACCTCGATATCTCTCTTGTATTTGCTATAATTTAGAGCAGTCCAGTTGCATGCAGGTGCTGCCAGCGTACTGCTCACATCCATCCCCAGTCCAAACTCCTCCTAGCAACAATACCTTAATTTCCAACATTTTACACACACGGGGCATCTCAGAAGCAACACCAAGAGAATTCTTCCTCTGCTGATAAAAGAATGCTACAGGCCCAAGTTTTGCCACTATATTGTTACCTTCAGCAGCTTATTGAAAGAGAAAGAACTCATTTTCTCTGTCTCTTAGCACACACATTCAACACTAAAACTATCCAAAACTTGCATTATTGGGCCAAAAGATCACCAGATTATCCAGTGGGTATCAGCATCTCTTGCTAAATTTTTGGTGCAGGACAAGACATCAACACTGAAAAGCAGAAACTTGTGTGCCTAACAGAGGATTAAGTTTCTAGGGTAAAATTCTGTTCTATCAAAATAATGCAGTATCTGCAATAAATTCCATAATTCTTGTCCATGATTCAGCAAATATCCAGTGCCTAAAAGCGACAGCCCTTTTACCTTTTCTAAGGTCTTTTTTGACTCTGTCAGATAAGAGTTCCCACCAGTGTACATCTGCAGAAACTGAGAATATAATAAGATTTCAATTAGAAATACAGAGTTAAGCCACATTTGGGAACCTATCTTCTTAACAACTGTACTCTGTAGACAAAAATAATTTCATTCCAGCTCATTACTGACTGACCTGTTAAACACACTACCCTCTCTAATCTTATGGTAAGGGGAAGAATCTAGGCTTCGCATGTCGAAACCAGTACACATTCTTGACACAAAACCTGCATCACTGTTAATGTTGGAAATTTACTGTTCTGGTTTCTTTATCTCTCCAGGGGTACATTTTGCTGGATGCTCCAAGAAGAATGCCCAGTCCCTCATCACCAGATAACATTTCTGAACTTTTTTCCATGTCACCTTCAGATGCCTTTGATATCACTCTTAAAGGTATTTGGTTGTAGGAAATTGATTTCACCTAGTTGGGGTCTTTGTAACTCAACAACTGTAATGTAGTGACTAGCTCTAGTACCTTCCCTGCATTGCTATATAACAATTAATCAGTCCATGTGGAACTGATACAAAAGATGCCCAATGACTTATAACAGACTTTGGACGAACTCCAGAGCTCTGCACAGAATCTCTTTTGCTTGCAAAATTCCTTACTCATCCAAAACCAAATAGAAAATAGAGCAATAAATATTTGGCATGAGAAGGAACACTTAGCATGTAGACTGAGCTGAATATTTGTTGGTTTATTGCCTTCCAGGGAAATGCTGCTAAGGCTCATTATCTGCGTCTCATGGTCCGCATGCTGCAACTGTTGCTGAAGAATAGGCAGAGAACAGACAGTAAAAGTCTTCAAAAGTATTACAGCTTGAACTGACTGTTGAAAATACCTCCTCAGTATCCAGAATTAAAGAGTAAACTAATAAATAGGGAAAACCCTTGAGCCAGGTTACAACAGTATTAAACATTCAGTGTTAGATACTCCAGTAAATGAATAGCTGTTAATTTTCTCACAAAGCTGAGCACTCATACTTCTCTTTTGAGGTCAATCTGAGTTGTAGGTGTTCTACATGGTGAAGCTCTGACAAAATTTTAATGCAGGTGTGTACCTTAAGAAAAAACACCCTTCGATTTTAGTCATTCAGAGACTAGTCTTTAAGGCTATCAGTGTTAAATTAGTCTCTAGAGTGCAAACTTGATGTTCGGATGTGCTGGAAATCTCAGGCAACGTGTAATTTTAGACATGAGCTATGGGAACTCATAATCTGATGGGCTATATTTAACACGTTGTGCAGCCTGGCTCTGAATTTGTCCAAGGCTGGAGTTGTCACACTTCAAGGCAGTCCCATTGGGAAAAAAAAAATCCCTACACAATAAAACATACCCACACACTGCTACTGAGCATGTTTTTTCAACAAAAATCGAGCTCTATATTTATTCAATCAGAATTTGCTACCAGTAATGTGCTGTAGGTGAAGTCTGGGACAGAAAATCTTTGGAATCAGTTCCTTTCATTCTGGATGATTTAACAGCAGAATATACCTCTATAAAATTTAAATATGTAACAACACTTTACAAAGATAATTTTTTATACTAAGCAATTTTGCAAGTTAAAAAGGATAACTAGGACTTCCCAGACTTAGTATCATTTTGTTTTAACTTCTGATTGTGAATTAGCTGGTTTCTATGAAACTTCCCTGTTTGCTACATATGGAGCAATCTACATTTACATAACCTACAAAATGAGTGATCCAGCAATCGACTCACATACGTACCTCCTGTTGAAGTAAATGGGAGATTTTTTTATGTGTAACAATTGCAGGATCCAGTAGTAAGTACTCAGCATGTTTGGGGAATATTTTTTAATGAACCCTTTCCATTTTCTTCTTGTAAAAAAGGTTACTTTCCTCTTATTGGATATTCTTAAGTGTTAAGCTCCAAGAGCTATGTTGCACAATGTTTTACTGAAAAATGACAGTGTTTAAATTAATTCCACTGGGATTTGGGTCATATCCTATGTTTCTTATGCCCTGAACAGCTAAACAGTACTCTTCTGTATTTTCTCTAGTCAGAATGAGATGTGATATTTAAAAATTTTGAAGTATTTTATTAAAAAAAAAATGAAAATTTGCTATTCACATGATGAGTTGTGTAACACCACAGAATAGTCGTCCACTTCTTTTCATAGGTGTCCTTGTGTTTTAATCATGTGAAGTATTTTCTTTTTCCCTTTTTGTCCCAGGTTTTACTTGGAAATACAAATATTTTCCTCTCTAATGGTTTTTCTTTGTTCTGCACCCCCCACCCCCCCATTTTTCCTTCATGTTTGCATTTTAACTCACATCTGTGCTCACAGAACTTTTTATTCATTAAAAGAGAATTAATGAGGATCTTCCAGGTTACCCAGCTTCCATTCGTGTGGTTTAAGGATCAGATTCAAGACCCACTGAAATTAAAGAGTCCTTATTTTCAGTGAAAACTGATCAAGAAATTCTGCATCACACACACAACCACGAACGAAGCAGTATGGTGAACAGAGAAGTTCATCAATAAGCATTCTCAGTGAAGAAAAATGAATTTGCTTATAGGATATCTTTAAAAAGTGTAGAAAACTATCACATAAGAATAAAATATTAATCAGATTTTTAGTCACATGGAAACCATCCAGGGGAAAGGACGGGAACTTTAAGCTATTAGTATCATTTACGCAATATACTCAAAGTTGAAGTAGCTTGTAAAATATATTCTACAACTGTTATACACTAATTGTACTGACATTAGTAGGTACGCTTTACATTGTTTCATTGTTCCTTCCTGTCAATAAATATATTATTTCATGCAGTATGCAATATGAAACTTATTGATTTTTATGTACTGGTACAGCCATACTACACTCACAACAGAAGCGACTATCATGAAAAGAGCAAGTTAAATAGACTTTAAAAGCTGACAGGTATGTTAGGGTTTGTTGTTCTTGTTGTGTTTTTTTTAAGAGTACAGTGGTGCCTGTGCAGAAGCACCAGCATTACCACAAATTAAAAAACAAACCAACACAAACCAAACCAAACTTCCTTCTTTTCAAAGCACATCCATTAACCCACTACACCTCTAACTAGGAGCTAGACAACTGCTCTTCCAATGAACCATAACACTAATTCTTGATACTTTTTTAGCACTAAAATTTTTGCCTACAACTGTCTGCCTCAAATTGGAAAAAATACCCCATGGAGACTAAGTAACATAAGAGTTTGCTGAAAAAGCTTTAGCCTTTCAGCCATTTATTGTGGCTAACTGCAACAAATTATTCTCTACCAAAGAAGAATAGAAGAGGGCTTTGAATAGGAATTACTCTCCATCAAAGTAACTTGCATTTCTACAGCAAGATTTTTTCTAACAATTTTTTTTGGTTTTGTGAGCAGAGACCTGTTAGCATTTAGAAAGATGCTTTGCAAGTACTGCATATTCCCTGCTCCTAGTGTGATTGCTACTGCAAGTGATGCAACAGCCCTTTACAGACACTTGCTCTCAACAGCAGGGCTGAAAAAAAAAAAAAATAATTCAAGTGAGTTCTGGGGAGAGGTTTTCTAGCCCAGTATAAACTATCAATTTGGGCAGGGCAGCACTGAAATTAAGTCTGAGCTGTATGTTCAGTACTAGATAGCCCTAGATCTTGATGGTTCAGATTGAAGGCTTTCACATTGCTTCTCATAATAAAAAGAAAACCTCGCCTGGCATGTTATTAATTCAAGACTGTCTCAAAGAAAAGGATAACATTTACTGAATCGTTATCTCTGCTTCCTGCAGCCCTACACACACTCTTGTAAGTTTGCCCACAGATCTCTTTAGACAGCTCAAACCTGCTTGGTCAGAAGTGGTAACTGGATCTTAGCAGAAGATTTTACAATACTCGGAAATAACTCAATAGCTCCGCCCACGACAGTCTTTAAACTGAAGTTTTAAATACGTACACATGAACACAAGCCTACTGTTCTGGAAATACACCTGTGTTTCCATGAAATCCTCTTTCACGTTAATTACAGAAACTGGCTTCCATATCCAGTCCTGGTGCTGACAAGATTTCAGGTCACTGAAGTCCAAGGAGTGACTTCTTCACCTCAAGATATGTCCTGTGCTTTATTCACACAGGCTACTACCAAGCCAGTAGCAGAGGGAGAGGAGTTACCATTCTGCACCTGCAGCCTGGATCAAAACTCCTCAGACCTGGGGCCTTTTCGAAAGTAGCAGCTGCAGCAGCATGAAGTTCAAGGTGCACAGCTAGACTGTGCACGCCTCGGACAAAGCGCCATGTTTCTGACACCTAAGTAACAGTTACGGTGACCAGGCTGTTATTTGTGGTATGACTCCCACAGAAAATTCATTCTAAACCAGATCACGTGTGTTCCCACGAGCTGTAGTCATGCCTTTGAACTGTGGCACAGGCCATACTTAGAGAAGCTGCTTTCCTTCTTCACCTCGCTTCTCACCCTGTATTACAAAACAAGTGCCATTCACTGGCTCACATGGTTACCTAGGTTCCCTGCTCCTTTGAAGATATATGAGCACTGGCACGCGTAAGTATTTTTAAGAGCGATGTAAAAGCTTTGCCACTGAGTTCGTAGCAATTCAACAAAGAGAGATAAAAATAAATAAATAGAACAGATGCAGTGCTTCCAGCAGTTCTCAGGGATGTTTCTGATGAGGAAAGAGGAAATTCATGAGATATGTGTCACAGATTTGCAATAGCTTAAAGAAGGCCCTGGCAAGGATGGAAGCTGTATGCTCCTGGCAGGGCTTTCTGGTGGACACTGAACATATTTACGAAGGGTGATAGTCACAAGGTCACAGACAAGTGAATGACAGAGCAACTGTGGTTTTCAATGGATGTACAGAATCCTACAGTATTCATGCCGGTTTTCTAGGCCTTCCTCTCCAAGTCTTTCCATTCAGAATTGGGTGAAAAAAAGACTATCTGAACTAGAACCTAAAAGCTGAAGTTACCCAGAAGACAATTTGCAAGTTACAGCAAGGGGATGAACAAATACATCTGTTAAAACAGCCTGAGGCAAGGGATCAGGAACTCTATCTTAAATGTTGCCTCATTAGGATGTTGGCTGAATATTAGATCTTTCTCCTACAAACCCAACACCTGAAGGTTCCAGAGGAAAATGGGACATTGTCACAGATGCTTGGAAGCTACTGCTACACAGTCATGAATGAAGCAAGTCCTGAGAATAAAAGCCTTTAATGCCACATCATTGAGCTCTACTGAATAGCTTTTCTGGTGCACACTAGCTTTCAGAAGTTACCCGCAACACAATTATTTAGTACAGTCTACTACAAAATGCTGTGAAAAAATAAAGTACAAGTGTTACCAACTAGCAGCTCATCTTTATCTATGAAATACATACCAAATAAATTGCAGAGGTGGCAAATGGCATTGCAAAAGATGAAAAAATTAAGGAAGATATTTTGTGGATTAACAAGAAACTGCATGGCAGACACGTGGAAGCTCTTCTGGATTTTTAAAAGATTTTCTAGATAAATTAAGACAGTAGAAACAATACAAGAATGAGAGCAAAGAGATTCTGGCCTGGATTTTCAAAATGCCAAACAGAACAACAGGACCAAAACACTGTTTCACACAAGGGTAGCCTGATCTGGAGGGATCCAACAGCTTCCTGACCCTGTCACTCCAGCCTGGTACCACACCAAGACTGACCACAGCAGAAAATCCACCTCCTGTTTTGCTTTTATCCTCCAACACGTGTCCTTGAAATCATGCTTTGCCACATATCCACAATTATTGCATCAAAGACTCCCCAAAGCTGCTGGATTTTGCTTAAACAAGCTATCATCTCTCAGATCCCCAAAACTTACTTGAAAAGCTTATGAACTGTTGCCCACTAAAACAGATAATATTAAACATAGAACAATGCCATGATTGTAATTAAAACATGTAGAAGAATATAAATTACGTTTTTAAAGTTCCTTCTAATACACAAACAAAAGGAATCCAATCTTTTAGATGAAGAACCAAGAAAAGAGTAAGGGGGAGGCTGGACACCAAAGACGATCCTCCACAGCCCTTTGAGAATATGGATCAACAGCTGCCATTCATGAAGCAGCATCGGCATTTCCTCTACACCACTCTGCATCCTGTTTCCCATAACTCCACAGCTCTCTCCACGTGATGACACCCTGGCTGAATTGCAAGCAGAGCTGGAGGAGCCAAGTTTCTGAGCCAAGCAAGAGGGAGAGGCTGAGGTCTTGGCTCATTCAGATTCTTTTACAACAGTCTCACCCATCAAGTTTTATTTTTCCTGCTTTCTTTGTGGCTAGAGAAACTTGGAAACCGAATGATTCAATTTAAAACAAGACATGTTTCTGCAGCTGAGCTGAACAGGACAGATGAAATAAATTTAGAGAAGGGAGACCCACTACCTGAAAAACTGAGTGTCTCAAGCACTCTGAAAAGGGATCATGGTGAGGAGAGGCAAGAAAAAGAAAGAGGAGAGGACTCCCACGCAACCTGGACAGCAGAGCTCTCAAGCTGTAGCAATCTCTATGACCCAGACTGCCCCAGCCACACATGCACACAAGCCAAGAGCTGCAGTTCAATGTTGTTGCACGCTTCATCAGTCTGTTTACCCAGAAGTTTCACTTGTCCTGAGGACAAGCGTGCTATGCAGCTTAGCATCTGGAGGTTGCAAAGTCAGCCCTAAAGAAGTCCCTTTTGTCTTGAGACAGTCTAAGTGGGCTGGATTTTCAGGCATCCCCACTTGTCCTAGTTACTTACATCCATAAAGAGCTGGTCACATGGCACCTGTGCCTCAAAGTACCAGACCATGATTTTCCTGTCTTTTTTTCCCCCCGTACCTCATTCCATGTGGTTTCTAGAATGAGGAAGGAGATTAAGCTGAGGTTATTAGGAAATGTTTTTCCTGACGAAAGATGGTGAGGGGAAGAGGTTCTTGTTGAGCTTCCTGCAATGCCCAGGAAAAAATGTTTATTTGTTCTTCCCTGGGGTTCCAGATTACAATTTTATATTTGTCATCTGCTTAGAAGCTACGTGAAGTAGCTCAGGGGCACAATTTTGGGGTTCATGGCTTAGCAGCAAGAGTTTAGGTGAATAAAACATTACTTCTCAGGTATAAAAACCGAAGATGATAACCGGTTGGTATCAGGAATACCCCAGGCATTGCTCCATGCTTGGCCATACTTCACTGCTGCACTCATAAGAAGCTTGTCTGGGTAGGTCCCAGCTCTTAATTATCTCTATTTGTTATCTCTATCTATCATCACTAGCCAAATAAGTTTACAGAAGTCTCTTTTTTTTTTTAGCATAACAAGATCTCCAAACACAAATACTGAAGTGTGTGTAGTGTGACAAGTACATGAAGAGATCACAACACCATTACCTCAATAACCAGGGGGATTCTGTGTAACCCAGAATAAATACTCACTTCAGATCTCAAGGAAAGCATGCAGCATGAATCAGTACAAAAAAATCTAGTGGCAGATTTTTAATATTATATCGGCTTGGTTTCGCTTTGCTTTAAATAAACCCCTCTGGATCCCTTTACTACTGATGAGTAACCAGTTTTTGAATCCTTCACAATTACTTCTAGAAAGGTATTCACAGCTAATTGGTCACTAGCGGCACAGAAACACAAA